AGTGGCGGCATATAAGTTTAAATAATAAATAAATAAATAAAATAATAATAATAATATGGAGACTACTGAAATTCTTTTGGATTTTATTTTTTAGGAGCTAATACTGTGGCAAGTATCCTGGAGATAATAGTTTTGGCTTAAGAAACAAACAAAGGAGAAATCAAACCAGTCCTGAGTCATACACAGAGAATTCAAAAGAGCAGATGAGGAATCAAAACAATTTGGAGGGGGTTCTAAACACACACACACACACAGTCCAAGCAGGATCAAAAACCAGACATGGAATAACCAAAAATCAGAAGTCAAGTTTCAGAAGTCATGTTTCAGGAAACTAGAGAGCAGGGACCACACAATATCAATTATAGTTATGCTGTTGTTCTGTACCACAGATACAGTCTTGGCTGTGCTACTTATAAAAGTAGAGAGAGCGCTGCAAAACATGTACATAAGCAGAAACAGAAAAGGAGACAAGCTCCATGTGCTAATTGATGGTCAGCTATTCCTTTAAAAAGGCCAGTGAATTTTGGGCTATATGAAGAAAGGCTTTCTTTAGGGGTATTGTGCAGAAATCTCTGGAAGTATAAACAACACTTTCCAAAAATGTCGACCATTGAGTATTAAAAGTCTTTTCTCATGCAGGCTGAAAAACATTGGGCTTTCTGAAGGAATGAACACTTGTTCATCAGTTAGCAGGAAGAGCTGCTCACATTTTTGTTTTGTGTTAATTTAAAGCCAACTCTAACTCAGTACAACTAACCCATTCATCTGTGCATTAACCCATTAAGGCAGGCTATACCTGTTCCTGTGCCTTTGTTGCTGTAATACTATTCTATGCCAATCTAAAACAGTGGTTCCCAACCTTTTTTTTTGACCAGGGACCACTTTGACTAGGGACCACTTGACCAGGGACCACTCTCCAACATTAGTACCAAAAGGGTTACAATCAGTTTTGGGTCAACTTTAGATTCGGTTTGGTTATTTGGAGTGCCGATTCAGAAAATTGCATTGGAATTGACCACATCAGCTGTAGTTTCTGATACAGAGCATATGTCATCCAGTAGTCATCATCTGCTCACTCACAGAAAACCATATTTACTAAGCCTCAGCACTGTAAGAGTTGCTCTCGTTGCAACAGTGTAGTAATGGTGAGGCTGTGAACCATATTTTAGTTCTTGTGGGCCACTGGTGGTCCATGGACCACAGGTTGGGAACCACTGATCTAAAGGATAAAGTAGCTTAGCCCCCATCGTGTGACAGTCTAGGCTCTGCTTCTAAGACAAGGCTGCCAAACATCTCTGGTTATGAATGTTGCCTATTATCTGAGCTCAATCTTTGTCCTTCTTTATTGGAGGAAGCCTCCTTCAGCTTAGTCATGACAAATATTGCCTGTAAGAACTGTTATGATAATTAATCAGGACCTTAAAAATATGAACAATTCATAATGAACAGATGGCATCCTTGCTCCCCCACCCATGGCAGCCATAGTCTTAGAGGACATTCTGCTGCTCACAAACCTGCATCTCCTTATAACAGTTCTTATAAGGTCTGTTGTGTGTACACATACTAAAAGAAAAACCCCACAATTCTTTAATGTCACCCCTCCCCTGCCCCAATAATTTTTTTCCATTTAACCTCTGTGTCCTTTTGGCACTTCTGGATGCAGCCTCCCCCTTGACCTGGCACATTCATACACCCTTTTCTGGCTTATGAGTACACATTCCTGCTGGGTAGCTTATGAAAATAAATGAACTCAAAACTCTAAGGTAATTAAGAGGAAGCTAATTTTGGCCATTAGCCAGAAATTCATTAACATACTGTGTTCAATCTGATCCTGTGTATAGTCTTTCCCGTCCTTGTGCCCTCTGAAGCACAGTCGTGAGAAATATGGAACCTCTATACTGTGATATTTCTGCTTTTCTCTTTCCAATTTAATGATGACAATCTTCATATGCTTTCTTTTGTATTCTGTTTGTGTTACTCAGTGCTGTTTATAGCAATAGGAAGAGTAGGCAGGAAACTTGGGAAGACAGATTGTAGCAAGCAGTGAAGGAAAACGAAAGTCACCGTGTAACTTGGGATTCATAGGAAAACCAACTTGCTCAAAACTTTTTATGGATAAAGAGAAAACATCCTAAGGATAAATATATTTTATTGATAATCTATTATTTATCGAACATCTATCTATCATCATCATCATCGTGTCAGTATAGGTATTTATTTTATTCAATTCATATGAGTTAGGAATGTAGATATTCTAGTTGTGAGAACCCAGCATTGTTCTTTTGGCACTTGAAATGGGAAATATCACACAAAATCTTACTGGTTGTGTAAACACAGTCACAAATGAAATAACTTACATATTCCGATTTGTTATAATGCCCCAAATCTGGTGACCAAAACAGTGACTATAGCTCAGCCTGGAACATGGCTGATTGAAATGGGGTTCAGACAACTACAATGCAACCTCCATATCCACAGGACTAGTATATTGCAGTTTTATTTACTAGGCCTGTTTGATCAAGAAAAAATTTGTTTCTAAAATCGATTTGTAATTGGGGTGTTTTTTTGTTTCGATATTTAAAATAATTACAAAACTTTCCAAAAAAAGTTTTGGTATTTAAGAAATTTTGTAAATATTAACGAATTTTTTAGAATATTTTTGGTATTTCTTAAGAATAATATTAAAATAATATTAAAAAATATTTTAAAATGGAAAATTAACCAAAAAATGGCCCAAATGTGGACCAAACACAGGCAGGATACAGCAAATGAGAGCACACACCAACAGAAGAGTCTTTTCTTTTTTAGAATATTTTTTAAAAATAATATTAAAATAATATTAAAAAATAATATTAAAATAATATTAAAAAATATTTTAAAATGGAAAATTAACCAAAAAATGGCCCAAATGTGGACCAAACACAGGCAGGAGACAGCAAATGAGAGCACACACCAACAGAAGAGTCTTTTCTTTTTAGAATATTTTTTAAGAATAATATTAAAATAATATTAAAAAATAATATTAAAAAATAATATTAAAAAATATTTTAAAATGGAAAATTAACCAAAAAATGGCCCAAATGTGGACCAAACACAGGCAGGAGACAGCAAATGAAGCAAGCAGCACTCACAGCAGCAAGGAATGAATCCAATCCAGTTGCTAGCAGCCAAGCCAACCCAATGCAAACTCCCTCGCCCTCTGCAGCAAGCTACGGCCGCGCGGAGCCGCTTTGAAAGGGCTCGCCGGCCAATCAAAAACAAACAGCCACGGACCCACGGTGCACTGCTTGGGAGCGCCGGATTGGCTCCCAGGCACCAGCACTCCAGCAGCCTCCACCCCATTAACGAAACGAGCGGAAGCTCGTTAAATCTATGGGGGTTGCTGGTTCGATATTTTAAAACCCTTCCGGGTTTGGAAATGTGTTTTGATATCGCTTCGGAAATGCCAAAAATAACGAATTAACGAATTAACGAACGAAACCGCACAGGCCTATTATTTACCCACATCTTACAAAATGTGTCTTCTCTAGGCATTTTCTGGGTCCTCCTGCATGACCTTATAGTATTCTTTGGCCAGAAGTCCTTCATTTTAATAGAGTTTGCTCTTATTTATTTTGGGTCTCCACATGCAGTCTGGGAATGTATATCCCATGGATGCAAAGGTTCAAACTGTATACACATCCTGCATTGGAAGAATATGTGAGGGCAGTCATGAGTCCATATATGCTTACTCCACATATTCATATGTACCGTTATAAAGGCAAGTTCCACTTTTGAGGTGTATGTGTTAGGTAAAGTGTTTTGTGGTGAGCCTCACCCTCTGTCAGTGGAAACAAATTCCAAGTTGTGAGACACTGAATGGTGAGCAAATCCACTCAGCTCATACCACTTGAAATGCTTTCCTCCAAGAGAACTCCTTCCCTCTGCCCCCTATCCTGATAGTCCTTTCTTTCCACATCTCTCTGTTTGTGTGTTTCAACTCTAGGGTGACTTAACCCAGCATGCCTACAATATTTTTTTCTCTTCTTTGAGGCATGTTGTCTATAGATTTTTTTTAGCAGACTGAAGGCAATAGTTAGAACTAGACCACGTGACGGCCATGCTGGGATTGGCTGCTCAATCTGATCATGGTGGCTCTTATCTCATGACATGTGGGGCACCTGACCCATGCACAGAAGGAGCCAATTCAATAAACAATGGTCTCAAATCACAAAAGCATGCAGAATATGTAAATTCTCTATTTCCCCTCTTTTTTCTCTAGCAAGGCGAGAAGCTACTGTAGTAGTTTGTGAAGTTAACTATGTCCTCTGCTTGCAATGTTGTAAAGTATAATTCACATTAACCCCTCCTCAATAATTAAATCCATGCTGTTACTGACTCTTCCATTGGGGCCAGTTACTCCTAATATTTCTTCTGCTCACTTTTTTTCTCAACCCAACCTTCTGGCCCTGAGCTTGTTCCCAAAGTCCCATTCATTTTTTTCCTGCCTCCTCAGTTCGGCATGAAGATGATAAAAAATGGAACCTGGAAATTGTCAAATATTTGAAATGAGCAGATTCCTGATCCCTCCATAAACTGCAAATTCCAGGATTCTGTAGAATGGAACCACAGCAGTTAAAATGGCACCATAGCACAAGAACTGCATGGTGTGAAAAGGGTCCAGTGATGGTATTTCACTTTGTGGTTATGGAGAAGATGAATGCATTCCATTGTGATATATCAATTCAATTCATGCTTTGAAGGGTATTTTGGATGGCTTAGAATGATCTGAAGGACAATTTCCCATCTGAAATAGGGTTAGATGCCATTCCTAGAAAGAGCTTGTGAAAGTCATTAAGAAAGCTAGCTGTCAACATGAAACTCCCTGACAACAAGCCTGAAATGACAAGATGGGTCACCTTTGCAATCCTGAGTGTCTGTTTTGTTTCATTACTATGCCAATAGTTAACTGGGATTCTATTTTCTTTCTCTCCTTGCCCTCTGCTTTGGCTCCATGACAGGGATTCGGGAAACAAGTGGATGTGTCATATATTGCCAAATATTACAACATGAGTAAAAGCAAAGTTGACAACCAGTTCTACAGTGTGGAAGTGGGTGACTCGACCTTCACAGTTCTCAAGCGCTACCAGAACTTAAAACCGATTGGCTCTGGAGCTCAGGGAATAGTTTGGTAAGTTTTTCTAGAAATAAACTGATTTGAATGCCTTGAAAGAATATACATATTTTTGTACTATTTTGGTTTTCTGTCCATGAATGTTGCCTAAGATCAAAGCTTGGAATTAATTTCTTTAAAAAGTTAATGTGCTACTCATTTATTTTAAAAATAATTTTATCCAAATTTTAGAAGTCTTTCTTTAAATAGAATATAAATTGCCTGAGTTTGAAAATGGGTAGGGGAAGCAGGCTAAGTATATGAGGTCTTGAATACTTGTGAATTCTCTTGTCTCACTTGCTCTCTTCTCTTCCAAAACTATTTATATGCAGGAGGCAGGAGTGGGGACAATCTAAACACAGAAAATCAGTATGAGCTAACAGAATGCATTTGAAAATCATTTGCCCTCCAAGTGTCCTGATTCCCAATAGTTATTGAAGGATGGCATTGGTTCCTTTATTGTGAGACCAGAGATGTGTCTATTATTCCCATCCTTCAGTTATTTATCTAGCAACTAGTCAATCAAAATGAAGTACAGAATTCTGATACATTGACCTGTTAGGAACAGGCTTGTTTTCTGCTGCCCTGGAGACTAGGACTCAGAGCAATGGGTTCAAATTACAGGAAAGGAGATTCCAATTTCCAGACTGCATGAGCTGTTCAACAGTGGAACTCACTACTGTGAAATGTGGTGTAAGCTCCTTCTTTGGAAGCTTTTAAACTGAGGATGGATGGCCATCTGTCAGGGGTGCTTTATGCTCTTCCTGCATGGCAGGGGGTTGGACTGTATGGCCCTTGTGGTCTTCTTCAACTCTGTGATTCTAGGATTCTAGAATGATATGATTCTAGTAGGGAATGAGATTTCTCTGGAGGTTCATGATGGGTGGGAAGCTCACAGGTCCCCTAAGCCAACCCCGCTCATTGACCTAGAGCATTGCCCTGTCCGAATTTTAGATTTCAGTGGATTTCTAAATAAACAGATCTGATGTGTTCAATCATGTCTAGCTTGGCTGTAATATGGCAGAAGAATAAGAAAGAGACCATGGTCAAATAAGACTGAATAAAGTGTGATAGTATGCAGGATTGATTAGTTATGTATTTTATTGAGTTATATGTATTTTTAGTTGCTTTTGTTACAGAGGAAAATGCATATGGGAGGGAAACTGTAGACTTTCGGGGGCTCAAAATGGTTCTCCGAAACATAATTAAAATTGTAGTAAAAGTGATCAGTGTTATATACATTCACAGGCATTCCAACAACCTAAAGTGAATATCATAGAGGTTACAAATCTTCCCAGAAACATTGGATCATGACTAATATCCAAATACCTTGAAAAGTGTGTACTTCTGGGGTATAAAAGGTTAGTACCAGGCAGCCCTCCTAGAGAAGAATGTTCATAAATGTCCAGGTATCAGAGAAGTACCTGTTTCCAAACTACTGCTCACTAGCTTCTCTTGGAAACAGAGCACAGAAGGCTTTTTATTCTGGCTTTAGGTACAAGTTACATTTAAATGAGAAGAGGAAGTCTCAAAGTTATTTGGGTCTTGAAGCTTATTTAAGTTATTTTAAGTAACGATTTATCTTCGTGACCATATCTCCCCCTATGCTCCTGTGTGAGCATTAAGATCGGCTGGGAGACCCTCCTCGCAGTCCCACCACTATCACAAGCATGGTTTGTGGGGATGAAGGAGAGGGCCTTCTCAGTAGTGGTCCCCTGGCTTTGGAATGCCAACCCCATGGAGATTAAGCAGGCCCCCACACTGTCCTCCTTTCGGAAGGAATTGTAGACTTGGATGTTTAGACAAGCCTTTGATAATGTCTAACTCCAATGGTCCACAATTAATGACAGCATTGGACTTTCGTCCCAATCCCTAGTTTCTGAGCTACAACTTGCACTATCCCATTATCTTGCTCCTGGTTATGTTTGGCCATGTTTTATGACAGTTATTACCATAGGGCACTGATTTTTGTTTAAATAATTGTTTTATATTCTTGTGGGGTTTTTTGTTGTTGTATGTTTATTTTATTGTTTTGCATTGTTCAAGGCATATTGTGCCATATGTAAGCCACCCCGAGTCTCTTCAGGGAGATCGAGGTGGGGTACAAAATAAAGTTGTTGTTGTTGTTGTTGTTGTTGTTGTTATTTTAAATTGCTTACATTAATATACTGCCATGAGATCCCATTATAGTGTGTGTTATACATATTTAAATAAATACAGGAAAGAAGGGACTGCTTTTTCTGTACCACTTGAAGCTGGCAGAAATGCAAGGTTTCCAAGTTGATGTGTTGATCATTTACAAGAAAAAGAACCAGAAAAAAACCCTGACATTTCACTGAAACATATGAATATCATAAAGGCCGTGCTATAAAACATGTAGGGCTAATAAATCTTGCAGGATAAATAATCAGATCCTTTATGATTCATGCAAGTGTTTCTTTGATTTATTGTTTATCACTGTATAAGTTTCCACTGCTACTTTTCCATCCCAAGATTCTGTTTTCAAAACTCATTATTGTTCAATTTTTTTAAAAAATATACAACTTTGTAGGTCTTATTAATTTTGTTTTGACTTTCCTTATCAATATCCTTTGCCATTTCTACCCTCTGTGCAATCATTGCTTAATAGAAAATTATGCTTTTAGGCAAGTCCTATTTAGAGAACTTTATTTGACTTATAACTATGCTTTCTCCCATACTTTTATTTATACCTTGGATTGTGTAGTGTTATTGATAATTGATTATTTTAATAACTCATTATATTTGTTATATACTTTTATACATTCATGTTTACATACATTCTACTTATATTCTAACTCTTTTGTTATCTTTTGTGACAAGGGTCACAAGCTAAATGACATACATTCTCAAAACCTTGTAAGACAAGTGGGGAAGCATCAAGTTTAACCTGATAGTCCTGTGTTTTGTCATTTATTTTACAGTACTGAAGATTGCTTTAAAAAGTAGTTAGTTACTATTCTAGTTCTAGGCCAAAAAGTATGTTGTCAAATATTTGATGCTACATTTTTGGGGGGAAAGCCATTGTTTTCTCTTTTCTTGTATCATAAGCTAACTTTTAGTTACTTTTTAAAATCTACAACAGATAAAGTACAACACAACCCTCTTCAACCACAAATCACCCTTCTACCTGGATTATTAACTTCAATTGATTGTAAAAGTTACACTGCAAAAAGAATGAGGTTGTGCATCATTAAGGGTGCACCTACAGTGTAGAATCAATGAAGTTTGACACCACTTTAACTGCCATGGTTCAGTCTCGTGGAATCCTGGGAGTTGTAGCATTCTGGCCAAGAAGGATAAAAGTCTTGTAAAACTGCCGCTTCTAGGATCCCATAGAATAACCATGGCAGTTAAAGTTGTATCAAACTGCATTAATTCTACTGCTGATAGGCTGTTAGGAATTGTGGGAGTTGAAGTCCAAAACATCTGGAGGGCCAAAGTTTGCCCATGCCTGGTATAGATGCACCCTAAGTTGCAATTGGAGTGCAATACAGTTACATTTTAATTGTAAATTACTCCTTTTGAGTCACTTCTTATTTACAAGCCTTGCTTCTTGTAACCAGGTTCTTTAGTCTGCATTGTAAAACAAGACAGACCAGAGCAAATTATTTTGGCTGTATAAGATAGAAGGAGACAAGTATCAAGAGCTAATACTGGCCAGTGAGTCCTTGCCCAATTCAAAATGCAACCCTCCTCAAAACAGATTGCTGATCAGGGACATAGAATCAGCAAGATTACAATTTGCTGGAACTGACCAAGCAGTTTGCAAAAGAAGTGCCCTCTAGAATAGGTTAGCCTTTCTTGTTTCCTCACACTTTCCTGACAGCAGTGCAATTTCTGTGCCAAGAGAGAGTGAACAGCTGTTTCCATCCCCACTTCTTTACTACATGTGATCAAATACAGAGCTCTTTGAATGACATTAGGCATCAAGTGTTAATTGTGACAGCTGCTTGTGGTTGGAGAAAAAAAGTCTGTGCCAACCTCTTGTTGCCAGCTTTGAGCACCACTGAAAGTGGTAGCTGGGTATTAACAGCTGATTTTGAAAAAAATCCTATAGAAATGCAAGTGTTTGACAGTGATCAAAATGGGATCTGCAACAAAACCTTCCATCATTTATAACGATTTCAGCCGCACCCCCTACACACAAACATACTCTGGCAACCTTCAGCACACCAGTTGTTAGGCTTGCACAATTTGGTGGACCTGTGAATCCGTGGCCCTCCCGAAAATGGCCGCCATCTGAAAAGCCATTTTGGGTCTGCAACCAAAAAATGTGACAAGATCTGACACATTGGCTTCCCAGGCTCACCTTCCTGTCATCATCATCATTATCATTAAATGAAATAAAGAAGGCGGAGAGCATAGAGAGAAAGATTTGGATTAAATAAATCAAACAGAGATAGCTGATGAGATTTCAAAGGACAGGATTGGTAGAGGAAGGCTGCTAGGACTTTGATTGGTAGTGTTTTGCTGGTACAATTCTTATGAATACAAATAATAATAGCAACAATCTTTTCTTTCATGATGGAGTTAGTGTAGAGAGAGACAATGGGTTCTGTTGGCAAAGCTTCCATAGAAGCCCAGTAGTTTATTATTTTTAGACAACAGCCAAATTATTATTATTGAATGAAATAAAGAAGACGGAGAGCACAGAGAGAAATATAATAAAACCAGTGAGAACTTGTGATGAGAGTGTAAAGGAAAGACATTAATAGATATTGGTGGTAGGTTTAGGTAGGTAGGTACTAGGTAGGTAGTTTTTCTGAGAATGAGGCTTTGCTGTTTGCTGGAATTCTTAATAATAATAATAATAATAATAATAATAATAATATCTTTTACAAGTGCTTTCTGAAAGAGAGGAGGGAGAAGAAAAAGTATGAAAGAAGAGAAGGAGCTAAAGGCTAAAGGGTGACTCAAAGCTCAGAGCCACTCTAAAAGAAAAGCACACCCACACACCCAAGTCCCCAAACGCTATGCACCTACCCATCCAACCAGAC